CCTTGAATAACAAGTGGAATGCAAGCATGCTTTTCCTTTTCAAAGATGTATTTTGTAATATGAAGTTCTGTTCAAATTTCAAGTTTCAGTTCCTATTCTGTGTTTTCTGTTAAGTGAGTCCTTTTTCTTTGTAATTTTCTTTAGCTTTTGTCCATGCCATGAATCTACTATGCTAGTCTATAATTTACTTATGGCCCTCATGTTTGAATGATTAAAAATAGTTTAGTTTTTCTTCGTGTATTGTTCAAGAGCTCAGGGTGATTGATGCTGTTTTGAGCTCATTTGCTGTTCATTTGCGTGAGATGCCATGCTGGTCATGGTATCTCCTTTGGATTTTGGAGTCCAAACATGTGTTTATTTCAGTTGAATTTCAGTCTAAATATTTTAGCTTTAAAATGTTGAATTTCAGTTTTCCTTTACATGTGTTTCTCCTAAGTTATTTAGCTGTCTAATTCTCTCAGCTTTATACAAAGTGTTTTGGATCTGTTTGATAGTCAATAGTTTAGTGGGAAATTTCATGTGTGAATGTTTGAATTAGATCATCTTTTCATGTATTGATTCAGGATTTCAAGTTGGTAAATAGCTCCAGTAGTTTATTTGGCTGTATGTTAAAAAATGTTGACTAGTATACTATGCATGTTCGAAAAATGCAGTGTTTGGTTGCTAAATACATTCAATTTAAATTATCACTAATTTCAGCACTGTTAAAATGATTGTATATTTGAGTTTAAGGTGATTTATGAATAGTTTAAGGTTTAATCTTATTTTTGTTATTACTAAATGCATGATAATGAGTTAAGGCCCATCATGTTAGGCGTTTTGCAATTCATTTTTTAGGATTTGTGCAAATCTTTGGTTATACGTGAATTGGGATGAATTAAGCCTCGGCAGGCTTTAATGCTGAAGTTCGTTCTTTTAAAAAAAAAAAAGTAATTAGGCCTGGCGATGGCCCAATTAAGGCTGCCAAGTCAAAAACAGGACTCCCTTTGTTTCCATCCTCCTTTGTTTTCATGCTTGGGCTCAATTTCGAGCCCAGTTAGCCCCAACCATATTTTTTTTCTTACAAATTTTTCTTAGATAATGTAGTGGGCTTGCGGCTGGCCCAATTCTCCTCAAATAACCCAAAGCAATGCATATCGGCCCAATGTCATACCTATAATTAGTTGCCTTGCATCAAACTTCAAATTATTTTGAGGAAGTAAATATGAACCTTCGTAGTTTACTTTAGGCGCGTTATAATAAAATTATACGGTTCCTGTGAGGTAGTTGTGATACATAATTTCCAAATCCGTGGGTACATTTATGTGACCCGGCCACAACTTTTAATAATGTTAATAAATTAAACATGTTGTAGATCGTGGGTACGGTTCCCGTGACACGATTCACAATGTGTATCAAACAAACAAGTGTACGACAATCGTAACTTGTTCAAGAAATAATTCCATAAATCCTAAAAAGCTGTTAAATTAATTAAAAGCGGCTATAAAGTTAAAAACGCACACTGGGTTTAAAACATGTTGTAAATCACATAATTAGGCCAATATTAATAGATAAGCGACCGTGCTCGAACCACGGAACTCGAGAATGCCTAACACCTTCTCCCGGGTTAACAGAGTTCCTTACTTAGAATTTCTGGTTTCGCAGACTTTTAAATAAAGTCAAAATTCTCCTCGATTTGGGATTTAAAATAAACTTGTGACTTGGGACACCAAATAAACTATTCCAAGTGGCGACTGAAATAAATAAAATAATCCCATTTCGATTAATGTCACTTTAATTGGAAAAACTCCCTTATATCCCCTCTCGGTGTATAAAGGAGGTGTGACATGCACGCACGTCCGAGCTTGTACCGAGGGTCCGATTGAGGACGAGCTCCACTGTTCAATCTAAGATCAGGCTTGGTCATTATATTGTGATCGGTTTGATTGTTTATTTTGTCTTTAACTCACTATCTGTTATTCTTAATTATTCGTATTGAATTAAACCATGTATCCTTTAAACCGCGTACAAATTTAATTGTTACTCTTTTTTTGGGATAAACATACTAAAAATGACCAACGCTCTTTTAATTTTCTTTTTTTTAGATTAATTAAACAAAAGTGTATATTAGAAGGGCAAATAAGTTCGTTTACAATATTTTTATTTAATAATAAATAAGTTAAAGTTGTTGGAAAATTAAAATAAAGGAGGTGTTACGAAAACCATAAGAAAGGTTATTGTATTGAATCTGGCTAAATATGGAGCAGTACAAGTGGAAGATAGTTGTGAACTTTTTGATTTTCCTCCACCTTTTGTCACCCCTTTCTACCAACAAGATCAAGCTGGAATGTTCAGAAGAAGACTACTCAAATCAAGTACTATGTTATGTAGTAGTAGTTCCCTAACTGGTACTGTATCTAGTAATAGTAATAGTGTAGTAGGTAATCAACCTTGTGTGTATGACAATCGTTCCCATAAGGGGAACATAGTAGCTAGTTCTGCTTCTCTTCGCGAACGCGAAGGCCTTTCTGGCCGCTGTGCATCGCTGTCGCGACAGGTCTTTAGCGAACGCGATGAAGACCTGTCCAGTGATTTTCAAAACAGAACAATAACTGGACTTCTTCCCAAATTTCATATTTCATCACTAGAACTCGACTTATGGCGATTTTTGAAGAGGGAATTCAACACTAAATCATATGTTTGCCTCTTTAACTCATTTTCTTCAATTTCCATCATCACCCATTGAATTCCTAGTCCTAAATCTTGTTCTTTAAGGGTAGAAAATTAGGGATTTTGTGAGAATTGGGGATCTTGCAAATTTGGGGATTTAGACCTCGATTTGGGGTCGGATTTCGGAACTAATTACATATTCGGGCTCAGGGATGAATGAGTGAATGGGTTATGGTCCGATCCTCGAGTTTTGACCAAGCAGGCTCGGGGTCGGTTTTTGGCTTTTTGGGGGAAATATTGGGAAACTTATAATTATGTATTGGAATTGATTTCTTTAGCGATAATTGATATTATTAAGTCAATTATGACTAGATACGAGTGGTTCGGAGGTGGAAACTAGAGGAAAAACGGTAATTGAGCAGTGAGTGGCCTGTGGATCGAGGTAATTGTTGTGTCTGACTTTGACTCGAGGGATTAAGGATCCCCGACTTAATTGCTATGTGAAAATCCATGTGTGTGGCGTTTAGGTGAGGTGACGAGTACCTATGCGCCGCCAATTTATCTGTTTGCCTATTTTCTTCCCATTCATAATATATTGTTTCCTGCCTTAACTGATACATGCTTCATTGGTATTTGCATGCTTAATTGCTACTGTCAGATATTGTTTTCCATTGATGAGGGTATTAGCTATTTCGTAGTTTCATTGTCTCATATTATTGGCTCAAGTCGGTTTATCGGTGTTTTATAGTATATTTGGGATTGGTTTCGCTGAGTAGTATAATTTTGAGTGAAGTTTCATAATTGTACATCTTTCCGTTTGTTTTAGTTGAGGTTTAATATGTTGGGGAGTTTTGAGCTAAATTGTGAACTTTCTATTCTTATTGTGTGATTGGTACTGATATGGTAGGATCGGGTTGCATGCCGCAACAGGAGGAATAAGGGTGATATATTGAGGAGGAATAAGGGTTCAATGCTATTATATGGTGGGATCGGATTGCGCGCCGCAACATGAGTAATAAGGGTGGTATATTGAGGAGGAATAAGGGTGAATTACTATTGTACGGTGGGATTGGGTTGCACGCTGCAACAGGAGGAATAAGGGTGGATTGATATGGAGTAATAAGGGTGAATATTCATATTGAAATTGGTTATAGGGTGGGATCGGGATGCGCGCTGCATCACTTTATGTGTTTATGTATTTTTCCTCAACTATGTAAGTTATTCTGTAGTTTTATATTTCACTCAAAGATAGGTTATAGCTGGATACTGATAGAATACTTGAGTTCTGTATTCATTCTTTGCAAGTTACTGATTCATATTGTTCCATTCTTCTTTCTGCTTTTATTATACACTGTATGCAGGTTATATTGTAATTGCCCCGCCGTAGCCTCGTCACTACCTCGTCGAGGTTAGACTCGGCACTTACTAGTACATGGGATCGATTGTACCGATACTGCATTCTGCACTTTCTATGCAGATTTCGGAGCAGGCAGTGGCTGATTGAGAGGTTGGCTTCAGGTTACATAGTGTGGAGACCCAAGGTGATCTTGTTGGCGTCCGCAGGCCCTGGCGTCCCCTTGTACCTCTCTACATTACTGTTTTCTTTATTTCCAAAACAGTTGTAATTTCTTTCAGACTGATGTTTGTAGAAAATCATATTATGTTCGTGGATTATGACACCGGATTCTGGATAGTAATGGCAATGTTATTGGTAATAGTATAAGGATAAAAAGGTTATTTACTTACTTTTGCATTTAATTCTACTTGTCCTAGCTTGTTAAATTTTAATCAATGAAATGTAAAGGAAAATGGTCAATAAAACTCTATCATTGGCTTGCCTAGTGAGTGTGATGTTAGGCGTTATCACGGTCACGTTTGTGAAAATTCCGGGTCGTGACAATTAGTGTTACGAAACTAAGCTGGTCATAAAATTATTCCTTTTTTAACATGTTAGTAATTTACTTTACGATCTAACATATTACATGGAAAATGAGTAATCAAACATAATTAATATACCCAATTCCAGTAAGTTTGTGATTGACACATTATCAATTGATTTATTGCACTTTTCTGTTTTTTCAGAAAGTGTTTTTTCTTGTTTCACAAATTTAAGATGGAAATTGTAACTCTGCCAAAAAAAAAAGAGAGATGGAAATTGTAAGGATTTATGCGGTGAAGTTTATTATGTTAATTTGCAATAGATTGACGTATACTTTTTATTTAAGCAAAAATAATGGATGGCATGTATGTGTAAGAAAGATAAGCCAACTTTAGATATTCCCAAGTCATCACCAAAATCCTTTTGGACACATGACATGTCCGAAATGCAAGGTTGTGGTCGTCTTAGCTGACTTGGCTAGGGTGCGAATCAAATCACACGTTCTAATTGGGCAAAATCTGTATGTCACCTTATCCTATATCCATTTTCTCTACCACCCATCATCTCTTCTATGCAACAAAAATAGCTTCTTCTCATTTTTCACAAATACTTCTTCATTTCCTACTTCTCTCCATGACTCCATCCAACTTTTCTATGGCCATGGCATCCCAAGCTTCCCTTTTCACCCCATCTATCTCGACGTCGAAAACAGCCGATCCCCGTGTCGTCGCCCCATGGAAGCAATCCGTTTCTTCCTTCTCCGCCCCTAAATTGTCCAAGTCTGCAGTGACATACCGTCCTATCAAGGCTATGGCAGATGAGAAGGCCCAATCAGCCACTAAAGAGGCCGAGCCAGCGGCACCAGTGGGCTTCACACCACCACAATTGGACCCAAGCACACCATCTCCAATATTTGGTGGAAGCACTGGTGGGCTTCTACGTAAGGCCCAAGTTGAGGAGTTTTATGTGATCACTTGGGAATCACCTAAAGAACAGATCTTTGAAATGCCCACTGGTGGTGCTGCTATCATGAGAGAAGGCTCAAATTTGCTGAAATTGGCCCGTAAAGAACAGTGTTTGGCACTTGGTACTAGGCTTAGGTCCAAATACAAGATTAACTATAGATTTTACAGAGTATTCCCTAATGGTGAAGTCCAATACTTGCACCCAAAAGATGGTGTGTACCCAGAAAAAGTGAACCCGGGCCGCCAAGGAGTTGGGCAGAATTTCAGATCCATTGGTAAAAATAAGAGCCCAATTGAAGTGAAGTTTACAGGCAAACAAGTGTATGATATTTAAGGCGATAGTGATGATTAAGGTGGCTTTGTAATTGTCTTTAACACGTAATGTATGATTTTGTGATTATTTAATGTTTGTATCAAATTTATTGTCATTACACACAAAGCATGGATACAATTTGCCGTATGTCAATTGATTCACTTCTAGCAAGAAGGTTCATCTTGATGAAAGGTATCCTCCTCACTGGTTGATAATATACCAAACTTAACACATGGCATATGGCAAATATAATAATATTGATATATGGAAATGAAAGGTGGAATTATGATTGTTTACCTCGAAAATACGAGTAATAATTAAATTTGATTTGTGGTTTTAAAGATACGTGATTCAGTTCAATACCAATTAATGATCTAGAAGTATGAAGTAGAAATGAAAGAGACAAATGAATCAAATCAAAGTTACTCAGCAGCAGTGACCTCGAGCTCGGTGACCTCGAGGTAGGCTTGGAATAATAAGAACAGTTAAATAATAAAAGTAAAGTAAGAACAATAGAGCTAAAGGACAATGCTTATGAACAGTAGACGAAAAGGTAGAGAGTATATTCTTTGCTCAGTGATAAGATGATGTTACAAATGACTGGGGTCCCATTTATATAATAGGGGAACCCTAAATGAGGAATATTTCCATTTACAGTAGGGAATATTCTTTATACAGCTGTCTAACCGCCTAGTACGGAATCGTACAATCTTATTTCGGGATTCGCGCCACGATTATGGAGGCGTGGCTGGAACTTGGCTCATTCTGTTATGAATTCCTAACGGTACTATTTCGGGGTCGAGTATACTCGGGCTTGGTATTCCTCGTACTCCTATCTCCGGGCTTTGCACTCTGTCTTCGAGCTTGCCTCTGGTCCACCGATCTCGAACTCGACCTTGCCTGATCTAGGGACTAAGATGGATCCTCGACCCTGTAAATTGGAGGCCTCTGATTTTGACCGTATACAGATAGTCCCCGCGTTTCTTAGAATAAGATGATAAGAAACGATTTGCACCTCGATTTCCCCGAGCTTCTCATGATGACATCATGCCCGTGACGTAGGTACTTGAAGTGACCGGAAATGTCACGTCGGCGCTCTTCTCCAAAACATCAAATGCGTGCCAGTGTTGGTCGGCCACTAGCGTTGCCGAACTGCCGTCGCCTTTCTATAAATATGAGGCTACTCTGTTGAACAAGGAACTGTACGCATTTCATCTTTATTCACTTTGATTCTTTCTTTTCCTTACTTCATTCTCTAATCATCTGTTTCCATGGTTCAAACCTGAGATCACAAGGTCGCATGGCAGCAACTTTACCAGTTACGTCAAGGCTCCCCTTTTCAAAGCTTCGATTCAAAACAACGAGAGAAGGGCGCAGGATCCTTCCCGCATCAGGAAATATGCGAACTTCACCCTACTGCTCATCTCTCTTAGCTTCAACCTGGTGTGGCACTTCATTCCTTTTGCTTTCCTTGGAATGAGGTGGCACTATCATCTACTAACTTTTGCATCCCACATCGGCACAACGTCCCAAGGATGAACATTCTTGGATCGTTGCTCGTGTATCTAGCAACCTTTTTGGTTTTTCTTGTGATAGAAGGCAAAGCTACATCTTCTTGTCTTCCCTTCTGGTCTTTTTCTTTTGCTACTCTTTTTTAAAGGATTATGGCCTAAAACTTCAACAGAATGCTCAATCCCCGCTGCTGGAAATATAGTTACATTTATCGAGGGCTTTCTGCCTTAAATCTCTTCGGGCACATAGACATTTCCAAAGATCAAAATGGGGTGCCCGGGAAGGAGGCTCCCGAAGATGATGCTCTCGAGGACATGGCCTTAAAAGTAGATTAGGTTCTTGGCTTTTGTTTTTTTCTTCTTTGTTCATGTGTAAATACCCCTCGCGGGTGTTGTAGTTATATTTTGTAACAATCTCTTGGAAATATAAAAGGATCCCTTTGTCTCCCTTTTGGATCGTGTTGAATTCCATCCCGTCTTTACTTGTGAAAAATTTGATTCTATAACTTTAATGACTAGTCCAAATATCGGGCCCAGGACATAATAAACCCTTAGGTTTTTAATCGATCAATATAATACCCCTTAAGGTTCTTGTTAATCTTCGAGCTGAGCTTAAATCGATTTGATGCGAACTTGGAACCTCGGGATTCCTGAGTTAAGTGAGAGCAAGGTCTCGAATTTGAAATAAAGTTAACCCTTAGGCTTTGTAGATAATCATCGAGTGAGAACTTTCTTCAAACTCGGGTAGCCCTTGGGCTTAGTAATCGAGCGAGCACTTGCTCGAACTTGAAATAAAGTTAGCCCTTAGGCTTTTTTGTAGTCCCCTAGTGAGAAATTTCTCAAACTCGGGTAGCCCTTGGGCTTAGTAGTCGAGTGAACACTTTGCTCGAACTCAAAATAGATCGATAAAAAAATGAATTGATATTTGACGCCTCGATCATGATGCCAATCTCGTGACGTCGGCAGTTGAAGTGACTGAAAGGTTGCTTTTCATGCGGTTCCCAAAGTCATTAATTGGAGGCGACTGACGGACCTCCGACCTGATTCCTGCTGAATGGATGTCGTTCCCCAAGGAGTGGAACATGAAACATAAGTACATAGTAGGTTTATACCCCGCTTTCTCTTCTTTTTCTCGGTTTATCTTTTCCCTTGGTCTAACCACTTTCTGATGGCGCAGCTACTGCTTGGTTTCCTGGTGGGGTCCCGGACCTTGAAGGCTGGGTTCGAAAAATAGCTTCCACTTCCTCTTATTCGGAGCGCTACTGGCGAGATTTAGCCAAAGGCAGATGGGATGCCAAAAATCATGTTGAGTTTTCTTGTTTGTTTACTTGTACTTCTTTAGTGGAATACTTACTTCGGTTTTGTGCAGGTCTCGGAGATGTCGTTGCTATGCGGCCGGCCCCGGGTGGTGAATAAGAGATCCCGAAACCTTCTAAAGAAAAGAAAAAAAAGGGAGTCACCTGCTAATCCCTCGAAGCCCAAGAAAAGCGCGGCTCGAAAGTCCAAGGCCGATACGGTGGCCTTATCTCCGGAAACGGCCCAACGCCTTCGGGATCAGGAGGAAGAAGAAGATGACAACTGCCTTTTGGTAGCTCGTAAAAGAGGAAACACTGGTGTTTCGAAGTCCGTCAAGCCGGTGATGGTCGATGTGGTTCATTCCAGAGCCGAAGAGATCTCCGAGGGGAGTTCAAACAAAGTCCCCGAGCCATCATGCAGTAAAAAGGCACCTCGCCTAGGAGGCCATTTGGGGGGCGAGGTCGAGGGTCCTGATCCCGAACCCCTTCACATAAAAGAGAAAACCCTGAGTGGGTCACTTGGGGTAATCAATGTGGATGACTCACCGCCTGGTCCCTAGTTCTCCGAGGGGCAGATCCGAGATGCTCAGAATATGAGATCTTCTGAAGTGGGGGCGAGCCACGAAAGGCATGACATCTTTCGATAATTCCTCGTAGGGATTAAAGATGGCCCTGACCCAGATGCTTCTTTCATATTTGATGAGGCTCGTCGACTCTTCAAACAAGTGAGTTTTTCTATTCTTTAGAATTACGCCTGCGCTTTGCTTTTGCTGTTATGAATATAACTTTCCCCCCTTTTCACGAAGGTTGTGGTGCTCCACAAAAGGGCATTTTCCAAGTCTCGAGCTGATCTTGCTCGATGTGAGGCTGAGCTTAAAAAGATTTCGAAAGAGATGAATAGTCTTAAAACCCTCTATGTCAAGAAGGAGGAGGAAATCAGCAATCTTCGATCCGAATTGGCAAAGGCTTGTCAACAATGAACCGAGCTTACCGAAAAGGTAATATTCTCTCTGATGTTTTGTCATGGACCAACTCGTTCAGTCTTCTAACAATTTTATTTTGCAGTTTCAACGAAAGGGCGGACTGGTGGAGCAGCTTCGAGTGGAGCTAAAGATGAAGGAGGCCGAAAGACTGGGCTGGAGGCAAGGCATGGACAATCTTTCCTCTGAGAAAGAAACCCTTCGGGAGCAGCTGGCTTCACTCGAACGTCAGTTCCAAAGCGTGAAGGAGGAGGGCCTGGCTCGAGGCCGTAAAATCGAGGGGCTCAAGGCTAAATTTGTTGCTGAGCTAGCTAAGGCCAAATCTGATGCTGAGGCAATTATGTCCTCGTACTGAGTCGACGCCGAAGCAGCTAATTCCTGGGCCAAGGAGATCTCCAATGCAGCCAAAGTTAAGTTATCATGTGCACTTGGCCATGCTAGGTGACAGTTCCGGAGGGAAACCCTCGAGGAGGTACACGCTCGTGGCTTCGATCTCTCAGCCGATATTAAAAAGGCGAAGACCTTGGAAGAAGAGGCTGCTGCTTTGCTTTCCGATGAGGATGATTCAGCCAGTGGCTCCGAGAGTGGAGGGGACGAAGATGGAGTCCCCGAGGGTGAGGCCCCCGAAGATACTGCTCCTGAAGACGCAGCTGTCGAAGATATGGCCTCGAAGTAGATTTAGGTTTCCTTATTCACATTTTTTGTGCAAGTATCCCCTGTGTAGATATCTTTTGTAATCATTTTTTGGAAATACAAGAGGAACTTTTTATTTCATTTTCGACTTGTGCTGGATTTGGATGATCGGTCCGAGAATTGGTTTGGACTCGGGATATAATAAACCCTTAGGTCTTTGTCGATAGATATAATAATCCTCAAGCTAAGTTTAAATCGATTCGATGTGAGCTCGAGATGTCGGGACTCTTGAATCTGAGTTGAGTGAGAGAAGGGTCTCGAACTCTATGTATTTTGGCCCTTAGGCTCTTTTAGATTGGCCCTTAGGCTCCTTAAGTTGGGCCAATTCGGCCTCTAGAATGGCTATATAGTTTTTCTCTCATTTCGGCTAAAAGACTTAGTGAAAAACTAGTTATGCCTTAGCATGTGTTTTTTGTACCCGTTGGGTTTTTCGAAAGTTCGACGTATTGGGTCCTCGTTTGTGTACTGATAATTGAATACCTCTTGAGGTTTTATCGTGGGTTGGTGCTATCGAAGCCTTTAAATTATTCGAGGGCTGAATTTATCGAAGCCCATTAAATTATTCGGGGGCTGAATCTATCGAAGCCCATTATATTTTGCTTTTGCCGAGGGTAGTCTGATTTAACCAGTTTTTACAAAGTATTTGAAGGCCTTTGGTTTATAGCGGAAGTCGG